AAATTATATATATATATATATATATATATATAATTTCTATGGATTTAACTAATTTGAAAAGAAAAAAACCCCATTTTATTTCTTAATTTGATAAAATTAATTTTGCCATAAAATCTACGAAATTAAAGAATTTAATAAAATTCGTACATTTGCTAAGTAAACAACTAAATAATCAATGAATCTAATAAGATAATTTTTGTAAAATAAACAAAACAAAAAAAAATATAACTATTTTGGGTTCTATTGTTTACTCCATTATTTTCATGAATAGTAACAAAAATTTTGTTAGCTAAAAATATATACATATAATAACCAATTCTCATTTCTGATATTATTTCCCCCTTTTGTTTTGATTAATTTCTTATTTTTAAATTTCAAATGATTTTTTCCAATTATTTTTTCACTGAAATTATATACATATATATATGAAAAATTTTTAAGAATCTGTGAAAAATTTATACTTTTAAAATTTTTCCTTTTTTTTTGTTTGATTAAAGTATCAATTTTAGAAGGATAAAATATTATTTCATTGAAAGTATACCTAAAAATCATTTCCTCTTTTTTTGCGTAGTTTAAAGCAAAGATAAAAATTAAATTCCGAAATTAACTTCTTTTGTTTTTATTCATAATGAAATACCAATTCATTTTTGGTTTTTAAATTTTTGATTTTCATTTTTGATTTTCATTTTTTGAAATATTAATTCATTTTAACTTACCCAAAATATAAACGAAGACATGTAGTGTGTTGCTTGGATTAACTCGAACAGAATTCGAATTTTTCCTTCGTGTTGCTGTTAACACATTAATGATCATTAAAATAACACTGCTAAAATAATTGACATTTTATTAATTTCAATTTAACCAATTATTTTCGAGATTTAAATCCAAATAAAATAAAATTTAATCAGGAAATACACATTAATAAATCAATTAAATTTATCATATATTGGCATATGTATATGTATTTGATAGTTTTGCAATGATATCAATTAATATGCTTATCAATTTTTGAGTGATTGATATTTCTATTTTTCTGTTTTCTTTTTCTTTTCTTCTTTTTTTTAAAATGCTATTAAATCAAAAACTTACTCCAAAATTCATTTATTTCTCTAATTTTAAATTTCTTTATATTCGATGAAATTTCGAAATTGACAAATTCTATTTCTTCTTTATTTTTTTTCTTTTATTTCCACATGAATTCATCAAAAATTGTGTGACAGAAAAGAAGAAAAAAAAAGGAAAGGACAACGAAATAAACAAATGAAAAAAATGAAATAAATGATTGATAAGAGGATATGATTGATAACAAAAAAAAGAAAAAAAAATAATAAAATTTTTTTTTCTTAAAATTAAAGACAAAAACAAAAAAAATCACCCATTACCAATTGTTCCAAATAAAAAAAGAAGGAAATAGGATACACTAAAAATTAAGCGTATCAATTTTCGGATTGATTCTTCATCAATATTTTCAGGATCTGCAAAAATGCGCAAATATTTTTAATTTAATTCAAGCAATTGCTACTATCATTTCATCAAATTTTGTAATTAAAATAACGAAAATAAAAAATTGAAAAGAAAAACGATTTTATTTTAATCATTTTTTTTTTTTTNTTTTTGAAGAATCAGTATTAGATCACTTATTTTTTTCTCGCT